ACTTTCCTCCCTGGGCTCTTTAAACTGTGATCCTCAGGCCTCTGCCTCCTTAGTAGCTAGGATTACAGGTGTCAGCCACCAGCAACTGGTTTTCTTCCTCATTTGCTATCTTCCTCTGTCTCTTTTTACTCCCTTCCCTCTTTTTCTTTCTCTCCCTTTTTCTTCTTCCAACATTGGTCTTAATAAGTCTTAACTGTACAATGCAGTATTGTTCAATTAAGTTGTTAAGGCATTGAGTTGTTCTGCACATCTCTAGAAACTGAATCTAGCATCACAGAAACTTTGTCTGCACTGAACTGTGTGGTTTTTCCACAGTCTTTGACAAGCATCATTTTACTGTTTGGGTTGTATAAAATAATGCTGACACATCCCTTGCTTTACACAACCATCTTTCCATTGGACGTTTAGTTTTCCAGGGCATTCTTTGCTAGCGTTGCTGTGGTGGTGACGGTGCACAGCCAGCGTCCTTAGGTTTTCCAAGATGGTTCTCCTGCACTGGCCCATTCATGAAGATCCACAAGCTCCACTCCCACACTGCTACCGTGCAAGGCCCGTGCCATTGTTCACTCATGCAGATTTCCCCCAGACAGCAGATGATTATACTTATTAGAATCAAAACAAATCTGTTGTCTATAAGTGAGTATATGCTAGATGTATGAGCTTAACAAATGAGCAAGGCTTCTGCAAGTACGCCTTAATGTCTTTACCGTCCACATGTGGCATGAGTTAAATAACTGGATGTGGCACAGTCACTTTTGCAAAACTATAAGCCAGAGAAGTCCTATGCTGATTTCACTTTAAGAATTCCCACGATCAGGTTACTGAAGGCTTTCGTTTTGTCTAATAGGACCACGTGTTTTTATTTTTTCTATTTTGCTGAGAGCATATGTGTTCTGTTTTTCCATATACAGAAATTCACTTATATCATTGTTTTTAGATCAACTTAGAAATTTTCTTTGCATGTGTGTGTGTGTGTGTGTGTGTGTGTGTGTGTGTGTGTGTACTTTCTCAGGCTGCTACTAGGCATGAACTCAGATCCTTGGGCTCTTTGCTTGGCTTTTTTTGCTCAAAGCTGACACTCTACTACTTGAACTATGCCTCCACTTCTGACCTTTTCATAGTTAATTGCAGTTAAGAGTATCATAGACTTTGCTACCAGGGCTGGCTTTGAACTCAGATCTTCAGATCTCAACCTCCTGAATAGCTAGGATTACAGGCATGAGCCACTAGAGCCGCCCAGCCCAACTTTACTTTTCAGTGAAACATTAGGACTGCTCTTGAAACAATTAAGTGCCTTTGCTATGTGCTCAGTGTTTTCACCATTCCACCATAAGAGCTTTCTCCTGGCAAGAGGAAAGTTCACATTTGATACTCCCCACCTCCAATCTTTCACTACCAGGCTGCTTTTCTGTGGCACAGCAAAAGGAATGGCAGGTGGGTAGGCAAAGGACTCAGTGTCACTGGTTAAGTAAGTGGCCCAAGTGATCCATTTAAGTAGTTTTTTTTTCTCCCCTGTAAACTGGAATAATAATTATAGTACACAGTGAGGATTATCCTCAATATCAAATAGCTAGATGGGAGTTTGGCCTGGTGCTGTTCAACTGCAGTCTCTCCACTTAGGAGGCTGAGACAGGAAGACCTCTTGAGCCTATGAGTTGGAGGCTGGGCAATAAAGCAAGAGCCTGTCTTCAAAAAAGGAAAATTATTTTGGGCCGGGTGCTGGTAGCTCACATCTGTAATCGTAGGTACTCAAGAGGCTGAGATCTGAATATCACGGTTCAAAGCCAGCCTGGGCAGGAAAAGTCAGTGATACTCTTATCTCCAATTCACCACCAGAAAACTAGAACTGGAGCTGTGGCTCACAGCGGTAGAACACTAGTCTTGAGTAAAAGAGCTCAGGGACAGTACCTAGGCCCTCAGTCCCACAACCGACAAAAAAATTATTTGGGGGTTGCAATAGGCATTTACTACGTTTAGAGCTGATCAAGATTAACAGTGGATCTGGGAAGACTGGTGAGGACCAGCGGTGTTTTGAGGTTTGGGGGTGGGTGTACTTCTGGGCCAGGCTGTGTGTTGGAATTGGCTGGGGTACAAATTCTCTAATAATTGTGAGGCTAGTGGAGATGGGTCTGCAAACCTATGTTTTCTGAACAGTTCCATGATGCACGCCTTTCTGAAGAGGTGGGGCATTTTCAGAACTTGAGCCTTGACTGCATATGCAGTGGCCAGGAAGGCTGGATCGGTTACTCTCTTCACAAGGATCCCGGTTTCTCATGGTGACTGGGGTGTTTCTGCTAAAGGGCAAATTTATATTCTAAAAACAAAAAGAAATGTGTTTTTCAGCTGAGCACTGGTGGCTTGTGCCTGTAATCCTAGCTATTCAGGAAGCTGAGATCTGAGGATCGAAGTTTGAAGCCAGCCTAGGCAGAAAAGTCTATGAGATTCTTATCTCCAATTCATCACAGAAAAAAACTGGAAGTAGCACTGTGGCTCAAGTAGTAGAGTGTTAGCCTTGAGCAAAAGAAACCTAGGGACAGTGCACAGGCCCAGAGTTCAAGCCACAGGACTGGCCAAAAAAAAAAAGAAATGTTTAATCATCTTAGGGATCTTGTGAAAATGTAGGTTGTGATTCAGTAGATGTAGGGTGGAGCTCACATGAGTAGCAAGTATTAAGTAGAGACTCATCTACTAACTTCTGCAGTCACTGGGTTGGGAACAGAGTACTGGATGGAAAGAAGGCTGTATCAGTCTCCAGGAAGGTGTAAGAGGAGAATAGAGAAGAATGCCCTGGAGAAAGGCAAGTGTGTGTGTGTGTGTGTGTGTGTGTGTGTGTGTGCTAGTGTGTGTGTGTGCTAGTGTGTGTGAGCTAGTGTGTGTGAGCTAGTGTGTATGTGAGGGTTTATGTGTATGGTTGGGGGCCTAACCTAAGGGGGCAGAAGTTGGTCCGAATCAATGCTAGGACTTCCTTTAAAATTAGATAGTAAGAAGATTAAAAGTATCCTTTGTAGATAATGCGAAACCCCTATTTTTAGCTTGAATGAGGTCCTTAACTATTCTTCTTTTTTTATTTTAATTTTATTGTCAAGGTGATGTACAGCGGGGTGACAGTTACATTCAGTAAGGTAGTGATTACATTTCTTGTCTAATTTGTAATCCTCTCCTTAACTATTACTCTTAGGAGGCCAGTGCGATACAGTTGGAAAGGAGTCACTACTGCGGGCTAGCTGTCGAGCAAGATGTCATATATCTTGTGATTGTTTTCAAGTGAATTTCTCTCAGATTAAATTTTTCTTTGTTCCCATACCTTCTAAATGACCACTAATTTCTTTTTTCATATGGCAGAATTTGTAGGCCTTGTATTGAGAGGGGAAGAGCTCTGGAAGGAAATGATAGGTGAATACAGTACTCAGAAAACTATGCTGAAGCGGATGGCTTCAGAGGCCAGAGCTCCTTTTCCTCTACATACATTAGATTTTTATGATTAAAATCAACTAGGACAAGGAACTGAGCATAACATTCTGGCAGAATTGCTTAGTAAAATGTGACAAGATCACTTTCATCATTAAAGGTCTTCCCTCTACCAACCCCTACTTCTTGATATTCTTCCATTATGGTATTAGCAACAATGAAAGACTTTTTAATTTATTGTCAAGGTGATGTACAGAGGGGTTACAGTTACATCCAGTAAGGTAGTGATTACATTTCTTGCCACATTGTATAGAAGATTGGCGGGGGAGGGAGGTGGACACATTTCTGATGAAGGAAAAAGTAGAGTTGTAATTAACATTAATAAGCAAGTAAATAGAAAAGCACTGAAAAGCATGAGTGGTGTGAGGATTCAGAAGGAAGGTAAGCCTGCAGTGAGCTTTTGAGATTGATTCAAGTGGAGAGGAGGGTAAAACGCTTCCCAAGAGGCTAAGAGTTGGACTGTGAAAGTGTTCATTTGTAGGTAGCAGGTGTGAGCCTACTAGATCTTTCAAACCAATAATGTGATTTGAAAGATCCCAGGAGAAGAAATATATACATTTTGTGGATAGGTGTAAACTTGATGAGTGTTAGAATTTTTTTTTTTTTTTTTGGCAGTCCTGAGGCTTGAACTCAGGGCCTGGGCATTGTCCCTGAGATTCTTTTGCACAAGGCTAGCATTCTACCACTTAAGCCACAGCCATACCACTTCCGGCCTTTTCTGTTTATTATACTGAGGAATCGAACCCAGGGCCTCATGCATGGTAGGCAAGCACTCTACCAATAAGCCACACTCCTAGTCCTACATAGTGTTTTTTTTTTTTTTGTCGGTTGTGGGTCTTGAACTCTCGGCTTGGGCTCTGTCCCTGTGCTCTTCAGCTCAAGGCGAGCGCTCTACTGTAGAATTTTTTTTTTCCTTTTCTGGTTTTGGTACTGGGGATCAAACCCAGGATGTTACACTTGCTAGGCAAGTGCTTTGCCACTGAGCAACATCCTGGCCCTGTGTTAGAAATTTTGAGGGGTGAATTGTGAGTTAAAAAAAGAATGCCAGTAATGTAGCGCCACCTGGTGTTGAAGTATGATTTTTTTCAAGTGAACTTTTCTCAGATTGTTTTTTTTTTTTTTCCCTTCTTTGTTTCCATCCCTTTTAAATTATCACTAATTTCTTTTTCATATGGCAGCTTAGCATATGCATGGGAGTTGGGGAAGGACATCACTCACTTCTTATGAACAATAGAAATAGTACTCACAGAATTTGTTTCTGCTTTGTCTTCCACTTGAGTGATGTCTGAGTTAATTCAGGTTGCAAGGTTAGAGCCACATTTCTCTTAGTCTAATTGCTTCATCCTTTGTGTTCTTCTGACTCTATAAATTCAGAATCAATAAGTCTGTGTAAATTTTCATATTTAATCGCTTCAGTGTTCTGAGTATTTTGAATTTGGACAACTCAGTGCAGAATATTGAGTCTTAAGCATCAGCTTTCAAGATGAATAGTAGTAGAAATTGGTTTTTCTTTTCTTTCTTTTAATCCCAAGGAAAACCCACTTCTTTGAAAACTGCCCAGCCATCCTGGGTGAATTTGCCTCGACCACTTCCTAAATCCAAAGCATCTTTGAAAAGTTCTACGCTGAGGAGGGCAGGAAGCACCCCGTCTATTGCCAGCGCCCACAGTGATCTGAGCACCTACAGCAATAATTGTAAGTCTTATGTCAGACTCCGGGAGCTGTTGAAATAATAGTTTAGAAGAAAAAACAATGTTCTGTAGAGAGTGAAATTTTTGTTTCTGATTTAGGAAAATTTTTGCACATAGCTTGTTGGGAAATTGCTCAGAAAGTTTGTCAATGGAACAAATGTGTTTAGGAACTCTCTTTTTGATGGATGTGCTGTGAAACACTGAAATAATTATGTGCAGAAGGCACCAGTTTTGTGGGGGAGGGGTTTGCATGAAGTAGCCTGAAGAACATTATTTGAATTGGAGGTATTTTTCATGTTTAATGAAAGAACAGCAACTAGAGTGTTCTTAGAACCCAACTAGAAATTCAGAAAAAGATTCCTGCAGTTTTATTTTGTAAACAGACTGTATATCTCCTAGTTGTGAGTTGTGTGATCTTTTACTTTGCATTCAGTGTAATATTAACCACAGGCCTTATTTTGAACTCTGTAAGCTCAGGAGAGTATTTTTTAAAGCTTTAAGTTATGGTAAATTCTGTCTTGTGTGTAAAGTAGATGAATCTATGCCTGTCATACAAAATGTGTTTGGGGGCTGGGAAGGTGGCTCAGTGGTGGAGTGCTTGCCTTGCATGCATGAGGCCCTGGGTTCAATTCCTCAGCACCACATAAACAGAAAAAAAAAAGCCAGAAGTGGTACTGTGGCTCAAGTGGTAGAGTGCTAGCCTTGAGCTGAAGAGCTGAGGGACAGTGCCTAGGCCGAGTTCAGGCCTCATGACTGGACCCCCCCCCCCCCAAAAAAAAAAAAAAAAAAGTGTTTGGGCTGAATTCTCATTTCCTTCTTAAATGCCCTCATAAAACCATGAGTTAATTCAAAAAATTTTGGAGTGACTGCTGTGCCCATGACAGGTGCAGCAAGGGATAAAGTTATAAACAAAATGGTAATAATCCATAGCTGCTGGATGCGTAGAATTCCATTGTGTGTATCTAGCATGTTTACTTGGTCACTTTGTCCCTTGGGGGACAATTGGGCTGGTTCTGTATCTTGGCTATGGTGAATGATACCACAGTGAACATGGTTGTGCTGGTGGCTTTACTGTGGCTTTATTGTGCTCTATTGGATAAATTGTATTAAGTTACAGACCCAGAGAAACAAAGGTTGCATGGTTTTCCTCATTTGTGGTAAATAAAATGTGTCTATAAATCTGTAAGTAAACATACTTGTGGTAAGCATGCCATTACAAATGAATTAACTGAAGTATAATAGATTGATGGAAAGCTCAAATAGTGTAATTCTTTAGAAAGACTGAGTCAAAGCCCAACAAAATATGTAAAGGAAATGGGTACTTGGAAGAGGGGGTAGTAAGGGCAAGGGGAGAGGGATAGCTGAATGAAAGGGGAGAATGCAATTGGATTACTTGTATATTTAATGACATTAAGAAAAATAAGGGAAGAGGTTCGTTCAAGGGGGGGTAAAAATGGAGAAGAGATAACACAGATTAAGGTGCATCGTACACATAAACTACTTTGTTAAATGGCAAAACATTTAGTACATATCCTAAAAAATTAAGAAAAGTGAGGGAAAAGGTAGGTTGGAAGAGGTGGGTAAGAATGTTGAAAGGGGTGACATTCAGATGCACTGTATTCATACACTGCTTTGTTGAGTGGCAACTCCTTTGTACAGCTACTTAAAGATAATAAAAATAAGCATAGTTGAAAAGATACTTACATGGATGAGTTAGAATATCAGGTAAAACAAGGTAGAGCTATACGAGGATGACTGGACAGCCAATCTGTATGTTTCAAGGAGAGATTAATTCCTTTTGCTGAGAAATTGGGGACAGCAAGATAAGGATTATTAAACCTTCCGGGTGTAATAAAATACAGGATTGCCATGTATTTATTGTTTTGTTAAACTAAGTCCTGTTATCTGGGTTATATAAATACGACATTACTGAGGCTCAGAGATTGTTGTTACTAAGTCCAAAGTCTCACAGCAAGTGTGTGAGAATGGTTCAGAAAAGATAAAGTGTTGAGGTAATGGTAATCAAACACATTTCTGGCAGATCACTTGCAACCCCAGTAGCTGGTCTGATCGACAAGAAGGTAGCACATTTAGGTGCTTTAGGAATACCAGACTAGGGTACTTCAAATTAAACAGGATTAAAATCTGCCTGTTCTTGAAATTTTGGAGTGGTGGCAGACAGGTAATTCCCTCTGGAATCTGGAAAGGTAATTCCTGCATGGATTCTTTTTAAGGTAATTGCTGTCCTAGCCTCCTTACTCCATTTCCTTAAGTATGAATTTTCAAAACATACTGCCTAAACACAATTGCCAGTATGCTCTCACATCCACGGTGATGAACTTGGTGACCCTTGAGGCAGACCACATTCCACAGTGCCAGATCCAGTGTTTTTGCATCACCAGCCATGTTAACTTGGCACTGTTTGTGTAAGGTGTCCGGCACTCCTCAGGACGTTGGGAAATGCTTCTGTCTGTTCCTTTTTGTCTGTTAACAAAGAGGTTGGCCGTGCACCCGCAGAGCCTGTCTAGTGGCTCTGTGTCCCTGTTTGCAGATTAAGTATTCACATCAGTGAGTCTCTTTCTTAGTTTGATTTGCTGGCTGGTTTAATCTGTGTTGTGTTGTGAGCGCCTTGGAGCTTACAGAATTCCACCCCCCTCCCCATCCTAATTCACTAAGAGCAAGCATGAGGAATATGGGCGTGAACATGGCTGCAGTTTTTCCTGCTTGAGTTTGCTTTGATCCTTTTAAATGACTGTACCAGGAGGATTTCGCAGTTGTACAGCAATTGATATTTCTTCAAAAATCTTTATCAATTCTACACTTAGTCCACCGGCTGGTTCAGAGAGGCAGTATGATGCTACCTTATTGACCTTGCTGGTCGTGGGATCCTACAGCCTGTGTATAATTCCTTTGTTAGCCACGTTTACTGGGAAAAGAAGTAGGTCGACGATTTCTGGTTTGATTTTCTTTGTAAGCATGCTTAAATTTCTTAATAAATTGATTTGGGACATCTTGATGGTTAGCTGTGGAACTTGTGTGTTAACTGTTGTAATTTTTTTCATGTTTATGCCTGTTTAGGATGTGAACGTATCTGTTTGGAAACAATTTTATTGTGTATGTGTTATGGGGCTCTAAAGAGAATTCAGTATTGTCGATGTTCTTGAGAAATTATTCTATTCTCAGATGAGTCGATGGTTTAATTTCTAATTAAAAAGCAGCTTTTGTGTATCTGGATTGCACTTGTGCAAATACAGAAAGTGTTTTCTTAGGATTAAAATGGAAACCTCATGTCTTATTATTTTCTTCATACTTATAATTAATACATCATTTCTATAAGTGTGTTAAACCTGTATATGTTTTTAAAGAATAGCTTTAAAAGATGAAAAAAAGTCGATCTTACCTGAAATTTTCCTGCTTCCCATAACAATAACGGAACGATCACATTAGGGAATAGCTTAATTCTTTTTCTGACAAGTGTTTTGATCCTTTCTGGCTTAAGCATTTGAATGCTTTTAAGGCGAGTGGCTCCCTCGCTTTGTCTGCCTGTTTCTTTGTGAGTTGATGCTGGTTGGGACATTGTTTAAGAACTTCTAAGATAGCCTAGTGTGCTTGTGAAATTAGCATACGTTTTGTGGAAATAAGGAAGCTGTGGAAGACAAACGATTTTTTTCTCACTTGGGAATTTTAGCAGGTTCTTTGTGTGTGTGTTCTTTTCAGAACAGAAAAATTTGAAGTGAACGGTAATGATTCTCTTTGGATATTAGCATCCGCTATTTTCTGTAGTTTCGACACCAAATACACACATGTATGTAGGTTAAGCATTATAACCTTTTTCAGACCCAGCTATCTTATTGTGTGGTTTTTCAGGTCAATAAATGGATGAAGACAAGTGAGATATTCTGGGTGGTGAAGGTTTACAGATCATTGTGCAATTTGGAAAAAGATGTCAGGGGATTCTAATTCTGCCACATTAGCAGGAATAGGAAGACCAGAGACTTCCTTCCTCTTCTACATTGGCCACGAAAGCATGTTTATTTCTGAGAGGCAGATGGTGTGGGGCAGTGGAAGAGATGCAAGACCAAATGTTCTTACACTGCCTTAGAAATAAGAGACGAAGTAGAGGAATGGAGTGAGTGCTCTTTGTCCCTTCACCTGGTGCCATCCCTGGGCTGAGACCTGTGAGACACGGAGCACTCACCTCGGCCTCATCCCACTTTTCTTCTAACTCCTGTGGAGGTGGACAACACTCTCTTAACCTCAGTCTTCCCATCTAATGAATGAGTGCAGGCAAGCTGGATCAACTCTTAAGTTCCTCCCAGTAGCAAATATCACTGACCTCTTGCATTTTCTTCAATGCCATAAGAGCTCTCGATCATTTTACCAGAGGGTGTTTTGAGTTGAAGTGATTTAAGTTAATGGAAGGAAGACCCTCATTGGCCCTCAGGTCTGTGTCTGTTTTATTTTCTTACAGGAATAGCCAGTGGGTGTGGTCAACAATGGTCAAGGATGAGGCACAAGCAGTTTATACTGTTAACTGCACATTCCAGGATATATCAGTACCTACACTCTTCTCAATGGACAACTTAATAAGGAAATACAGAACACTTAAACGTTTTCCTAAGGCGTATATGAGACTTTCTTGTGTGGTAGTATTCACATAAGAAGTTAGGGACTTATTTACTTACTAGGCAGGTGCTCTACCACTTGACCCACACCTTAAGCCCTTTATACTCCTAGTTATTTTGGGGATAGAACCTCATGTTTTGCCTGGGATGGCCTGGACCATGATCCTCCTTTTGCTGCTTCCTGTATAACTGTGGTGACAGATGTGTGCATGCCATTACACGCAGCCATTACATGCAGTTGTGATGAGGATCTTGTTAACTTTTTCCATAGGCTAGCCTCAAACTGTGATCCTCATAATCACTTCTTAATAGTTGGGATTACGGACATGAGCCACTGGTGCCTACCTATGGAACATTCTTAGTTCAAAGTTTCATTTTTTTAATTTAAAAGCTTGGACTCAGTAATAATAGTAATAATTTGATTTCTTTTTTCTTTTTCTTCTTCTTCTTTTTTTTTTTTTTGGTCAGTCATGGTGCTTGAACTCTGGGCTTGGGTGCTGTCCCTGAGCTCTTGAGCTCAAGGCGAGCACTCTACCACTCGAGCCACAGCGCCATTTTGTTTTTTTTTTGGTGGTTTATTGGAGATAAGAGTCTCATGGACTTTCCTGCCCAGGCTGGCTTTGAACCGTGATCCTAAGATCTCAGTGTCCTGAGGAGTAAGATTACAGGCGTAAGCCACCGGCACCCAGCTTAATAATTTGATTTTTAAGTAAGGTAGGCAGATGGTCTGTTCAGATGTTCTGGCAGAGTTCATGAAATGCACAAAACTGGTGGTTTCATGTGTGTGTGTGTGTGTGTATAGTTGAATAAAACACTGATGACAACTCTATCTGGAATATATTAAGTGCTAGCAAAAATAAGATTCTAGGATGATGAGAAACCCTTTTCCAATACATTTTCTCTTCTGTTCAGACTTTTCTAGGAATATGTCTTAATTTTCTTTTTAGATTTTTAAAATCTGTTTTATTTCACTGAAACCATACTTTCGCCTGGTGAATTGAAAATGATTCCAGAGAATCTGTTATTGTAGCATAATTGAGATGGTTAGGGCCAAACATTGGCATCATAAGTGAGGCAGTTTTAACTACACATTAGAGCTGGGACCTAGGTGTCCAGCTGTCGAATTCCATGTTTTGACTCTACAGACCAACTGTCCATAGTTTCTGACAAGCATTAATCTGGCCTCTGTGGGATTGAGTACCATAATTAGAGGATGACGGTCAGTGTGGCAGGTTTTCACACCTGCCATTCAAACCCACTGGTGATAGGTACAGTGGTGAAGTAATTCCCTGCCCCCCCCCCCCCATACCCCTTGGTTGTGCCCAAGCCAGGACCAGAGCTTAGACGTTGTAGATTCCATCCCATTGTTGAACTGTGAAGCTTTCCAGTGGCCAACAATACAGTAGAAGAAAAATCTGACAGCTGGGTATACTGACTCTGAATGAAGAAAGATTGAAACATCATCAGATCAGCTGTCCATGTTCAGAACTCCCATGGAGGGTAGGAGGAAGGCATCATGCTTTAGAACAATAGACATCATTCAAAGTGGGCTTTGCTAAGAAGCAGTGGAGCACTAGCATCGAGCCATTGTAGAGCTGAGAGAGAGATTTAAGGGTTGGGTCATAAAAGGATGATCACTGCTGTCCTTACCATTAATAAGGGACAGAAAATCCTAGGCTTTGAGTATATATCATATATTTGTGTATATTTTCATATGACTACACAAGTGTGTGTGTGTGTGTTTCTTGGAGTTAAGTGTAGACATTTTATCCTTGAAGTATGGACTTGTGACTCCCAGATGTTCTGAAACTGATGAATTTATTGTACTGAGCTTGAGAATTTGTTTACTGGACAAGATGTGTGTGTGTGTGCCTGTGCCAGCGGCTAAGCATAGCATGCGTATCCCATGTCCTTTGCTTCACTGACTAGACTTTTTTTTTAAACTAAATTCTTTGGAAACCAGAGATCTTGGTGTCTAAATTTTAGAGAGGCACGCATATAGAATCATACAATTTTATATTGCTTGAAAGTTGAACGAAAGTGAGTCATGCAAAATCTCAGCAACTTACAGCTGAGAATAACAAAAATTGCTTCAAGAAAAGCACAACTACAGTTCGGACTGTTATAAAACATGGCTGAGACGCTATTGTATTTTTTTACTTTCTTTATTAAATTTGATTCTGTATGAACTGAAATGTTCCTTGAAACCTGATGTATTTTCTGTGAAAATCTTTAAAAAAATGCAATTTTGCTACTGTCATTTTAAAACATGGACTCATTCCTTATCCATCCTTTCGAAAGTTAGGTTAAATTTTATAGTAAATAGGGTTTCATTCATTCATTTTTCGGGTACTAGGGACTGAGCTCAGGGCCTTGATCTCTTGCTTAGATTTTTCACTCAAGGCTGAAGCTACAGCTTCACTTCTGGCTGTCTACTGGTTAATTGGAGATAAGACTCAGCCCAAGCTTCCTTTGAAGGGAGATCCATAGATCTCAGCCTCCTGAGTAGCTAGGATTACAGACCAGAGCCACTAGCACTTGGCTAGTAGGGTTTTATTACGGTCATTTCTATTAGCTTCCAGTCAACATTGGAAAGACCAAGTGCTCGGTTCTGGGGAAGGTGAGAACTGGAGGGAAGGACAAGAAAATAAAAGAAGTGGGCTGGGAAGGTGGCTCAGGGGTAGAGCGCTTGCCTTGCATGAATGAGGCCCTGGATTGCATGAATGTGGCCCTCAGCACCACATAAGCAAAAAGAAAAAAAAAAATAAAAGAAGTTGTCAGCCAGAGGGATGTCTGTGTTGATTTGACCTACTATTAGAGATCTATCTGGGCATATGAAGAGTTAACAGATAACTGGCACAGAAACTGCATGAAGATCAAGAGAGCACACTAGCAGGTCCTTACAAGGTTCTGTGGTGACATCTACAAGCATTGTTATAGGAATTGTGATAGTTTAGCCTAGTGAAAATTTTCTTGCTGTCTTCACATTTAAAATGTGTTTGCAGACACATTGGGCATCTCAACCTTTACTAGAAATGTGAAATGAGGAGGGAATCCAGGTTGGTAATTAAGAAATTTATGAATGCATGCTGTGTAGCACAGTAGAACTGAAGAATTAGAATTAGGTTTTGAAGATTAAGAAACCAGCAATAAACAAGTCTGGTTGGGGGCTTTTTACATTGCCTACATTCTTGCTTTGTGTGTGTGTTCACATGATGTGTGTACACATGTGTGCATATTTGCATATTGGTACTAGGGCTTCAACTCAGAGCACATGTGCACGTTTGCATGCTGGTACTAGGGCTTGAACTCAGAGCTATTGGCTGTAGTCTATCATGAGTCATGCCTCTAGTCTTGCTTGCGTATGTGTGTGTACTGTTAGTGGGGCTTGAACTCAGGGCATAGGTACTGCCTGTTAGCTTCTTTTTTTAAATCAAGGCTGGCATTCTACCACTTGAGCCACAGCTCTATTTCCTGTCTTTTGCTGGTTAATTGGAGAAAAGAGTCCCACAATCTTTCGTGTTCAGGCTGGCTTTGAACTGTGATAATCAGATCTCAGCCTCTTGAGTAACTAGGATTACAGGTGTGAGCCACCGGTGGCTTGGCTCATATATCTACTACTAAGCAGCTGGGCTTACAGTCAGATCTTACCCATGTTGCTACCAAGGAATTTATCATTCTTGCAGAATTGCCATAGTGATGGCAATAGTGATGGAACTATCTGTTTTGGACCTGGACACTCCCTGTGGGTGCCCATTAGATAGGCTAGTTGCACAGCACAGATGGCTATGGAATTGGTCTCCTAATTTATCTGGGACCAATGCTGTATTGGACATAATGAATAAACTTGGAATTGGTCTCCTAACTTATCTGGGACCAATGCTGTACTGGACATGATGAATAAACTTGGATCATGCCAGGAAAAGTAGAATGTAGGGGGTTCTGTGGGTTATAGCTTCTGCTCTGTAGATCTCAACACTAAGTAATGATTGACAGATGCTTAGTGAACATGACTGACTCAGGAAAAAATAAAATGGGAAAGATTGGTAATTCTATTGATTTATGAAACAGAATGTGCTTTTCTGTTTTCTTACAGCTGGTAATGCCACTGTCCTCAAGTATGAGGAGAAACCTCCAAAACCAGCGTTTCAGAATGGCCCAGGATCCTTATATTTGAAGCCGTTGGTGCCCAGAGCTCACGTACACTTCCTTAAGACCTCTCCAAAAGGTGAGGACCTCTGCATTCCTCGAATGACTGCATGGTTTCTAAGGTTCTTGGCTGGTAGGAGGTTGTTCAGTTTGGACAATTAGATTTACAGTGTATTTAACAATGATCTATTTCTATAAATGTCTGTTTTACACTGAGTTCTTGTTCAGGCAGCTGGTCATTTCCATTTAACCACCTGATCTCTAGAAATCAAGTAGACAAAGATATCAGGCGAAATGAACAAATCAGACTTGTAGTGTTCAACCATTGCAATGCTCTACATAGAGAAAGGAATGAAAATGCTTGATTTACTTTTCCCTCTGCCTCAGTGTGCATGTTTATTACTTGCACGTCTGATCCTCCTTTTCCTTGCTCCTTATGTTTAAATGGTCTTGGGACACTTACTTTATAAATGCTGTAACTGTTAGGAATAATTTGACCTTAGGGCTTCTCAATTGTGAAGTAGATACTCTGTGGCTGGAGCCACACCTCCATCTCTTTTTCTTCTGTTCCTCTTTATTTTCCCCCCGTTATTTTATTTTTTAAGATCTTTTTGCTTGGGCCAGCCTGGGCTATGGTTTAAGATCTTTTTGCTCGGGCTAGCCTGGGCTATGATTTAAGATCTTTTTGCTCGGGCTAGCCTGGGCTACGGTGTTCCTCTATTTCTGCCATACTTTGGATGGTAGGTGTGTGCCACCCACCATGTGCGGCTTTTTCTGTTGAGATGGGGTCGCGTGAAGTCCCCCCTCCTCCAAGCTGGGAGGCAAATTTGATACCTGCACCATCTCTACCTTTCATGTCGCTGGGATTCCAGGCATGAGCCACTCAGAAGTTTTATTTCTGTCAACACCAAATAGCATTGTGTTGCCTTTTTTTTTTTTTAATTTAATTTTATTTGTGAACATACTGTACAGAGGGGTTACAATTACATGGGCAGGATAATGAGTACATTTCTTACCAAGCATTGCAGCCTCCTCCTTTGTTTACACTTCACATCCCTTCCCAGCCTCCCCCCTCCCCCCCAATCCCACTCCTTTCCTCCCCACCCCCCCCCCCCCCCCCCCGCACCGACATTGTAAAGCTCGTTTTGGACATGACAACTTGTACTTCTCATTGTTGCAACAGGTCCACCTGTATCCCTAAACAACTGGTTTTTCCCCATCTCCTCCACAAGTTATACTGACATCAAATATAGAGAAAGCAGGGGTTATACTGTGGGGGAGGGACATACAAAGCAACAAAGAGACAATCTTATAAATGCGTTAGAAACACATGCATGAAAGAAAAAACATTAAAATACATTTCTCTGTGTTGGAACATGGTTTTGTTTAAGTTTCACACGAAAATTGGGTGTAGTTGTTCCAATTATGTAAAGATTATATGGTAACGGAAGTTACTTATCCTGGTGAGCGTTTATCAACAGTTAGCTTTCGACGGGATTAAAAAGATACTGTGGAAAAAAATTTCTGTAGTGTTCCAGCAGGGTCGTAGCTTGTCAGATATATTTCTGAGCTATCAGATGGTCTCTCTGCTGGGCAGTCATCGGGATGTGAAAGTGTAATTTTTATTGATTGTGATAAAGGCCCCACAGTCCACACAACAGGAAAAATAAGCCCTGTTTATTTTTGGTGTCTGTTCTCTGTAGTGTTATAAAATGCCTTTCTGTTAAATTCATTGAGATTTTAGCAGAGTAAGAATGGATGCTAGGTTTTAATTGATTGGGACACAATGCTTTCTATTTATAGTGGCCACAGATTTTGAAAGACTGTCATTTTTGTAAAATTCCACAGGTAGAATAGGGTGGTTAATTCCAAGGCGCTCACCCACACGTAGTTATTTGTGGGAAATGACAATTGGATGTCAAGTGGTTGGTTCTTCTAGGGAGTGATAGCTTTTTACCTACTCTGCATTTCATATTTTATCTGTTTGGAGGAGAAAAAAAACGCAGGTCTGTTTATCTTTACAGTTTAAGTATATTTTTCTTCACAGCTGCAAAGAAATTAGCACTTTCAGAAAATACACATCAGTCTCTTAAAGCCTAGCCCCTTCCTCTGTCAGCAGTGGAATCGTATTGAGTTTAGTAAATGTGAACATTGAGCTCCACCAGGTTGCTGTAGGCTCGTGCTGTAATCATAGTTACTCAGGAGGCTGAGATCTGAGGATTACAGTTTGAAGTTATCCCAGGCAGGGAAGTCCATGAGATTCTTATCTCCAATTAACCACCAAAACACCAGAAATGGAGCTTTTACTCAAGTGACAGAGCACTGACCTTGAACAAAAAGCTTAGGGACAAGTGCCCAGGCATCGAGTTCAAGTTTTCGCAACAGCACACAGCCGCACAAGAGTTCCCAAGCTGGCGATGTGGGCTCAGTGGATGTGGGCTCAGTGGATGTGGGCTCAGTGGATGTGGGCTCAGTGGTAGAGCACTTTCCTAACATGTGCAGGGATCTGGAGATCGAATCCAGATCTGCCTCCAAAAGCAACTTCAGTTGTTCTTGATTGAAAAAGTACTCTGGCTTCTCCTGTTAGAGCTAGCAAACTTAATTTTTGGAAATGAATTCGTTCCTCTTATCATTTTGCTCTTTGGGATATTATACTTAAAATATATTTGATAAAAATGGATTGCCTTATTGGCTACTTTCTACGTGGAACCCAAGATGGGAGGGGTCAAGTGATTGTTTTTGAAAATATCACCATTCCATTTACAAAACGGGTTTGATTATGTGAGATCTTCAGCAAGCAATATATGTATCTTATGTGTCTTTCTTTTATATTTCAGGTCCTTCAAGAAAAAGTCTATTTACAGCCTTGAATGCAGGTGAGTGACCATTCTGAATATAGATGGAGAAAAAAAGCATCTTTTTTGTAAAGCCATGTTAAGTCTTTAAGAATCACTGTGATTTCTCTCTGGTATGCCTATAAATAGAATTTCAAGTTCGAAATGTGAAAACCGCTTGTGATGTGGGCCAGCAAAGCATTCATATTTGGTTTATAATTGACATGAGCCACCTGATCTGTAAAGACATTTTATGAGTAACATAATTTTAGTTTGGATGGTCTGTTAATATTTGGTTTATAATTGACATGAGCCACCTGATCTGTAAAGACACTTTATGAGTAACATAATTTTAGTTTGAATGGTCTTGTTTGTCCTTTAGCCTTAAGGTCTTTGAGTCTTTTGTCAGCTCATTTTTTTCTCTCTCTCTCTCTTTCTCTTTTTCTCACTCGCTCTCTTGCTGTGTGTGTGTGTGTGCGTGTGTGTGTGTGTGTGTGTGTGTGTGTGTGTGTGTTTACTCATTACTGGGATATTCAGGGTCTCATGCTGATAGGCAAGTGCTCTATCACTTCAACCATACCCCAATTCTTTCTACTCTTTTTTTTTTCTTTTTCTGTCATGGGGCTTGACTCTGGGCCTGAGCGCTGTCCCTCAGCTCAAGGCAAGTGCTCTACCACCTGAGCCACAGCACCACTTCCGCTTTTCTGGTGGTAAATTGTAGATGAGTCTGACGGACTTTGCTGCCCAAGTTGGCTTTGAACCGTGATCCTCAAGTCTCAGACTTCTGAGTAGCTAGGATTACAGGCGTGAGCCACCAGTACCCGGCTTCCTTTCTGTTCTTGTTTTGCACTTCTCTAAGACATCCTGCAGCTCCCAGGATTTGAACCACATTGGCACTGAGAATCAAACACTTAGGGAGATGTCACACAATGTGTTCACTCCATTTCCTGTGTCTTGTCAGTAGCTGATCAGGTCTCCCCTATCCTACTATTTTCTGCATCGAGTATAGTTAGTGAGGCCTCTAAGTCCCTGGCAGGAAATCTGAAGAAAGAGAAAGACCCTATTGCCTGATCTCAGCACAGTGACTGAAAAGCTACTTCAGCTCTGTGACCATGTCAGATGAGGATAAAGTGTGAGCCAAAAAGGAGGGAGAGCCTTGCCTTTCAGGAGCTTGCCAGATAGTCACAGAAATGCCGGAATCACCATTGCAATAAGAAAGGAGGGAAGGAGGAAAGGAAGGATGTTTTGTATGCTCTTGGGAGAGGTCTGGATTGAGGGATGTGGTATCTCCAGAGAAGCCTAGGCAGGAAATAGTATTCCATGAATCCCGTATGGAAAGCAAAAAGGGTGGATGATGTCGCTGAGGAAGAAGCTAGTATCTTTAATACCCCATTAAATGAACTATCGCTCAGTTTAATAAGGCAGTGGAATGTGAGGGAATTGAATCAAAATTGTTAATCTGTGTGTGTGTGTGTGTATGTGTGTGTGTTTGTATTTGTGTGAGTTTGCTTGTATCAGTCCTGGGGCTTGAACTTGAGACCCAAGACCGGTCTTTGAGCTTTTGGCTCAAAGCTAGAACTTTACCATGTGAGCTATAACTCCACTTCCAGCTCTTTGGTCATTAATGGGTGGTAAGAGTCACAAGTTTCCTGCCTGGGCTGGCTTTGAACTGTGATCCTCAGATCTCAGCTTCTTGAGTAGCTAGCAATACAGGAATGCACCACCCTTGCCCTGGCTGTTTTCCTTTTTTAAATTCTCAAAGCTAGAGGACACTTGGTCATGCAGAATGACTTCTAGTTTACAGGCTCCCAACAGGTGTATTCACTAAAGCTTTTCTAATTTCAAGTAAAAGGAATTGCTCTGTGCACATTAAGGTAATTATTTCATTTTGTGGTAAATTTCTAGCACACCTTAGTATCCCAGAGAAAGGGATAGCTTTGCTTATGTTCAAAACTCAGGTAACCCTTAGATCAGAAATGGGATTGTATGTGAACTCTTGGTGCATTAACAGTTTGAAAAACTTCAACACTGTGTTCCAAAGCAATTGTACCAGTGATTTGCATCAGCAATGTAGGAGGGGTTTAGATCCTCCTCATTTTTGCTGGTACTTGATTTTGTCTTTTCTATTAGGCCCTCCTTGGTAGAAAGTGGTTTTCTTTGTTATTTGGGTTTTAATTTCCTTGTGAGCTAATTATATACATCGAACATCTTTTCATGTGCTTACTGGCCACCTGTAAATCTCTTTGGGGAAGAGATTAATTTGGTGCTAGTCCTGGGACTCGAACTCAGGGTCTGAGTGCTGTCCCTGAGCTTTTGTGCTCAAGGCTAGTGCTCTACCTCTTGAGCCACAGCTCTACTTCTGGCTTTTGGGTGGTTAATTGGAGATAAGAGTGTCATGGAATTTTCTTCCTGGGCTGGCTTCAAACCATGATCCTCAGATTCTAGCCTCTTAAGTGGTTAGGATTACAAGTGTATGCCACTGGGGCATGGCTTTTGCCCATTTTTTGAATTGCATTATTTGTGTTACTCTTGAATTTTAGGAGTTATTTTTTTATTTGTATGATAAAAAGTGCAGATCTAAAAAGGCTAGCAATGGGTAGTATTGTCTCAACAATGGATGGTTAGGATATTACATGCTTCAAGTATAAAATCTGTAGAAGTGTTCATCTCAGACATTTGGCCTTGCACAGAATTTTAGATGAAATATTTTTTTATGAGAGGGGAGAGTGAGTGGATTAATTTGTTTATTTTTGCGGGGTGATGGAGGAAAGAAAGACCCTATGCTGGGGACTGTTCTGCTGCTGTTTTTTTTGCAATAGAGCGATTTTCTATTATAAGTTAGACAACCTTTATGATGTTCTTGATGGTTGTGTATATTTAAAGGTATGTTATTTTGTGCAAATGTCTGTATCTGAGTTTTTATTTAAGATCAGAACTCAGTATTTTTTATTTATCCAGTAAATGTGACATACAGGCAATATATTAAAAGACATATATTGTAATTAGTGGCAGCTTTAATCAATTCAAAAATAACCAAAACAGAATGCAAGTATTGGATGGATTCTGTTTTTTGATCCGATCTGCTATTCTTCTTTTGATTGGTGAATTGAGTCAATCAATGTTATTATAGGGTTATTATAGATAGCATATAGAGTTTTAGAAGTGATCCTTTAGTTTACTATGCATAAATTTTAAATAAAATAGATGCCTATTTTGTCATTTAACATATGGTCCTATTTTTTTTTTTTTTTTTTTGAAGAGCAAGGTCCAGTTCTTGGGTTTGAACACAGTGTCTCTGCCACTCAAATTTCTTGCAGTCTTACGGACTTTTTTTCTCCCCAGGCTGCACAGAAAACCACTGCTTATAGATCTCAGCCTCCTGAGTGTCTAAGATTATGGGCAGGAGACTCTAGCACCTGGCTAGTGGTCACTTTTAATGACAGTCACATTTAGCATGCAGTGGTATTTATCTGCTCTTCTCGGTTATTTGGGGGTGACTTCTGAATTACGTTCAAAATAATGAATATTCTCACAATGATTACTTTCCAAGTTTGGAGGTGTTTCTTGACATACAGAGCCTTTAGAAGTAGTGTCAGTACATCAGAGCCTGTGTATGTGAAAAGCACTTCATTCGATTTGTTTTCCAACAGCTCCATGTCAATTTATGCCCTGAAGACAACATACAAGAATTCTAGCCTTGTGCCATATCTTGGTCTACAGTTCTTTAAAAATTTGGAGTAACTTAATATTTGAAAGTGTGACATCATTGCTTTAGTTTCCTAGGAACTCTTTGTGAAGAAATTCTGGGATTGTAAGGCCATGGAAAAGAGCAGGGAGGGAGCATGTGACCACTGGTGTTGGTGTAGGTCTTCGTCCACCACTTTCTATTTGTGTCCTGACCTTGGGTCACGTGCTAAGCCTCTCCAGCTCTCCAGTTTCTCAGTCGGCCCTGTGGGAGTATTTGGAGGAATAATTCCCAGTATGGGAACCGTTTGACATTGTAGGATCTTTGTGTAGAATGGAAGCTGCTAGGGAGGGGGAAGATGGTAGTCCCTGCTGCTGCCTGCAACCCTTCTAAGTGGTTTATTTTGCAGGAGGACCACTGAAAGCCAGGAGCCTGCCTGCAGTCATGGATGTAAAGGTTGCGATGCTATGCGATTCTAGGCAACATGGTCTCTAAATAAAACCTGGCTTACATTTAGGAGGAAGCTGCCACAGTCTATTCTTGCCCTCCTTCTACCACACATGGATGCGGTCTGGGATGCCAGAGGCATTGAGCGGAGTTTATCCAGCTCCCTGATTATTTTACACACGGTCATCAGTCTCCATCAGTCTGGGGTGCCAAGGTGCTGGCCTGAGGATATAAATGTCCGTCCTGCCCCTCCCACGCCCATTTAGTAAAGATAGCACAGAGTAGGGAGGCATTCTGCCTCTCCCTTTTCCAATTGTTGGGAAATGGCCTGTGCCCTGGAGGTGCTGTGACTCTGCCAGGCTCTCCTCTGCCAGGCTCTCCTCTGCGTCTGTTTCCTTGTCGTGTTCATGATGATTACTTTTCTCTCACTTTGAAATCAGAGTTGGTACTTGGCAGCCATAAGAAGACAGCACTTCAGCATATCTTTTCTTCTTCTTCTCCTCCTCCTCCTCCTCCTCCTCCTCCTCCTCCTCCTCCTCCTCCTCCTCCTCCTCCTCCTCCTCCTCCTCCTCCTCCTCCTCCTTCCTCCTTCCTCCTTCCTCCTCTTCTGTATAATCTCTTTTACTCTTTTAGGGCACAGCCATTGGCTTCAGATTGTTAATAGGGAGAACTGAGGGCAAGAGGTGTGCAAGTTATACATAGTTAAATTTGTCCCAAGTTGCAGATGTGGCCTGATTGACCATTCGTTCAGTCTTAGTCCTTGGAGGAATTTCAGAGGATTTGTCATCTTATTACAACAAGGTGGTCTCCTGAGTTACTTTGACTGTCTGCTTTAGGTAATAGAAAGAGGATGTTGCTTGCTGGAGGGGTGGTTTTTATCTGGGAATCCCATCTTATCTTTCTTGGAGCA